CTCCGCCCACCTACTCGAGTGGGTACGTTAAAGTAAAACTCAATATTATACGGATTATTAATTATTATCATTACTTTTCTTGTACCCAACCGTATATAACTCGATGACGTTAAAACTATTGTTTTTTTTTAAATTTTTATTTACATAACTTTAGCTAAACGAAATCAGCGCCTTTAAGTGGCTAACATTGCATTTGGATGTATGGTTTGTATTCATATTGGTAAAACCGCACCTGAAGAGTCTCGCTTACATCAATAGGGAATTTTTCGCTTCCCGTTGGACCACAATACGGGTAAGACGCGCATAGTAGATTATCCTAAGCCACTAAAACTATTTGCGAAATCCGGTCATGCGTTTACTTTTTTTTGCCCGTCAAAAAGGCAGCAGGGAAAGCGACAAAGAGGAATTGGCATCTCGCAACTTTTTATCCTCCACTCTGCAAGCCATACGGATAGATGTCCCTCTAATAGCGCAAACTTTGAAGACACCGCTCGAACTTTTTTGGCACTTTTTCAACCGATACACACACAGTTATTATTTCCGTATAGGTAAGTGTCGTGTGTGTGTGTGTGTAACTGGTTGGACCTGCCGGCCGGCTAAACTTAATAGTGAAGGTAGGCAAAAGTCGGCGGGTAAAAAAAACACACAGACAGACACACAAAGAAACAAAAGAAAGAAAGAAAGAAAACACGGACGCGGTATTTTTTTTCCGATTATGTGAAAACGAGGGTCGTGCCTGTCGCGTTTTGCCGAACGTGAGTAGCATACCCAAGCGATCAGAGCCGCAAAGGAGCATTTTCGTTTTGTGCTTTCATCAATACACACCACCGCCGAGTTATACTTGGATTCCAGGCTATCTGCTAACATTCATCATCCGCCGGCAAGACGTCCCCCGGCAAAACCGGCACAGCAACCGACAAAAATATATATCCTCGCGTCCCGAACATTACTCTACAATAATAATAATGTCTATGCGTGTATTATTATAATATTACGTTTGCGCGCCGTTTTGCCGGATGGGTTATTAATGGCCAACGCACGAACAACGAGTGTGTCCGCCAGAGAAGTGGATCCCTGGGCGTGATAAACAATGTATGTATAGCAATCCAGTGCAGTTTTATTTTAACTGTCGCCGAAAAATAGTGTAACATTCTACGGCCACTAGGTCGATTCGAACTAAGTTGATCCTATACGAATAAAAAACTCTCGAGTAGCGACTAGCGTTCCAAGTGGACACTATTTTCAACTGTACATAAATTGCGATTACAAAAACAATTAAAAATAATAACGCATTACGATTGGTTGTATGTTGAATGGTTACCTTGAATCACGGGTAAGAGCGCTAGTTGTCAATCGAACCAAATGTTTTTTGGATTAACTTCTTGACCGTGAAATGAGTGTATTATGGTTGGGCAACCATACTATCTTAAATCGTAAACATCTTAATTAATAAAACATGATAATTATATACATACTACATTCGTTGATTACTTCAGACAAAAAAATCCCAATACATTTGCATAACAATAAATGCATGTGTACAATTTCTTAAATTTTTAAGATTATTTTAACACTATAATAATTTACAAATTATATGTTATGCATTTTGTAATAATTGAAATCATAATTAACATTTTTTTTTCTAGCTCAATAAGAACTATAAATAAATTGAATAATTCTGAGACTAATTATGAGTTAGTAGAGGGGGGGGGGACTTGATCCATTGTAATATAAAGTCGTTTCAGTCACGATTTTAGCTTGAACAGATATAATATTGCGCTACAGTTCAGTGTTCATATTACAAAGATGCATATAACACTTCATTATACTATTACAGTGTAACATGATCATATAACATTAATTTTGACATTATACATTTATCAAAGTCTAATTAAATATCAACTTTTATTGCTACGGATACACAGTACAATAGTAGGGACATCAAAGGTAAACTAAATAATTAAAAACCATCGATTTATAAGACTTTTTGCATGTTTTAATTAATATTGTACGTCATACGGCTTATCGGTATCTAACTAGATATAGGTATTGTAGATTTGTACGGTAATTTGTTTTCCAGATGTTCATTGTCATTAATTAAAAACCATATTGTTCATGTTAAAACTAGCTTTGGTGTTCGATAGACTGAAAATTTATATGTAAATATTACAGTGATCGTCACATTTTTTGTAGTATTAGTATTCATAATCTATACTATATAGTAGAGGCTTGTACCTATTATGTATACTCAGATGTATATTAGTTTATATGAGGAGTTAAAAATTTGTTTGTTTAACGTTCGATTGTGTGGAAAGTATAAAATTTTAAAAACATATTGTTGTATTGGTTTCAATAAAATCAAGCCTAAATTATTTATGCCAGCGCAACAATATTCAATAATGAAAGTCGCTGTATGATATACGGATTCGGTTACAGTGTTTTTTTTGAAACCAAAATAGGGTCTTCCTTTGTAATCAAATTGTTACTGTTTTGACTTCTGAAAAGTACGGTTCCTTGTGATTTGTTCAAGTTTGACATTTAATTAAAAAATTAACCTCTGGCGTCAGCGGCTGTCTACGCGGTGAATGCCACGAAAAAGGGGAGGGGGGAGGTAAACTTACCAGACCGACCACCTTACCTCAGGCAAAGGCGGCTAATTATTTAGACAGTGACTTTATGAGCTAAAATATTCAAAGAGCACCGCTCTTTGGACCCATCAATGATAAATACATATTTTATGAATTTGCAAGATGCAACTGTGTTCACTAATCTATCAAACATATTAATTATATTAACAACAGTGAATTCTGTTTGAGTGGTCATATTTTTTGTTAACGATAAAACAAACTCCAGAGATAATAAGAACCACAAGAATTTTGGCTTGTCGATTCCGTCAAACTTCTTAGTTTGTTCGGAGAGGTGGAACTTTTTTTTCTTTTTAACAATACTTTATTCGAATTAAGATAACGGGAAACGCCGTAGCTCACCGCAATCGTTTCGGTAACAAAGTATTTTTGTGCGAAAGCGAAATAAAAAACAATTGTGTACAGAATCATATTATTACCGTGGTATTATTTTCCGAAGGTCTTGTATAGTAATTTTTAAGAAAGTTTTTTTCAAGTCATAACTTTGATAATAACTTAAGCTTTTTTTTCTCTCTCTCTCTCTCGGACGATGTGCCGCGGACAAAGAAACTGGATTTTGAGCTCATTATAAATGGACAATAATTAATACCGAGCTGACAATTATCATTTTACAATATAACTTATTTATTATAGGTACCGTTGAATTTGTGTAAACTTAATTAATGATTTGGGCATGTTAGGCGATAAAATAGAAATTGCCAGCATAAGGCTGCAATCGAATGACAACCGATTGGGAAAACACTCAAAAGAGCTCAAGGAAACGATGAATAGATAGGATAGGAAAATTTTACAAAAGCTGGAAGTGCCGAATCAAGGAGCTAGAACCCACAACTTAACGGTCGAAGGGCTGTTTAAGTTGGCGGCTAGTATTCATACAAAATTATAAAGCCAAAGCAGCTGAAAAATGCTATTTTTGTATTATTGGGATGTAAACATATGTATTTCATAACATCAAGTCAATGTATAACGATAATAGTAATTGATTATCGTTTGCAGCGTTTTTCTAATGGACATGTGATTTTTAACGTTTGATTATTTTTGAATTTTATTGTTTCAGTGACACGTTTTTGGTGATACAATTTATTTTTATGTAAAGAATAATAAATAATATATATAAATTATTCCATATAGTTAGTGTGCGATTTAGGATAATACGTTTTCGACTCATTTTGGATTACTTCCAGATTGTTTGAAAACAATCGAGAAGTTGTAATGTCTACAAAAATAGTTTATTGTTTTACCGCATTAAAAGTTTTCTACTTATAAATAAACGATTTTTTACATATTATTTTGTTCAACCTATATATAACACTATTAAACATGAAATTATTATTTTAAAACTATAAGCGTTATAACATATTTTTAGTCAACAACATCCGATTTGTTAATAATATAATTTTTTTTTTATATATAATGCATTTTGTACTTTTAGTTAAAACGGTAAAATAGACGAATAATCGTAAGATTCTTGAAATAAGTGTTTTCTATCAAATATATTATGAATTATAATAATGTACGTCTAATGTTTACGGTTCAGTTCAGAGTATAATGTTTGATAAAAGTCGAAATTATGTAACATTCCTAAAAATACACTTAGAGCAACATATAGTAACACTCTTTTACACATGGCAAAACTGTAAGGAGGGGCGAAGAGGATTTTTTTTAATCTAAATACTCAATGCAATCTAATCATGTCGAATTTAATACTAAATGTAACTGTGTACAATAATACGTCGTGTTACCAAATGAAGAAATTAGAGTGTATGTAAATGAAAGATTTTTTTACTGTCATTTTTTATGCTCCATCAACCCGATTCAAATGGAATAGGTGTCCAACTTGGAACAGTTAATTTTTGTTATTTAAGATGTTAGGAATGGAAATTTAGTTCATAACAACTCTAGGTACCAAAAAACAGTGTTCCAAGTCATCCAAAATATTACATTTGATCCGGGTTAACGGTGCTTAAATTGTATACTTTTAAATGGCTTGACTTAAGACCTCTTTAGCGCATTTATTTAAATACTAATTAAATCGTCGTATATATTTCAGCTATTTCGGAGACGGCCTTTGGAAATTATAAGTAAATCGAGAAATTATTTATTCTGTTATATCTTCACTACTTCATAGCTGTAGAAGTTTTACTCTTAGCTATTATAGGGGCCTCCATTCTGATCAAATAAATATTTCCGATCGTGTATTGCACACAACAGCGAGAAACCGATATTGCTTCTCAATATCTTAAAAATACTTGTATAATCTTTTGAACTATAATACTATCGATTTAAATATTTTATTTTTTACACTATAGCCGTCAAGTATTATTTTTATTTTTGTATTCAGCGCCTTGTACTCACCTTTTCGGGTGTAACTCGGCGAACCTTGCGTTTTGTAACGTGGAAATGAGAAAGAAAAAAAAACTAATGTCGATCCGGTACGACGGCGTCCCGTGCGTGTAATAATATTGTAACGGTATTACTGCGAACGGGATTACGCGCGTATGCGGGACGAACGACAATGGGGAATATCGGGAACCGGGACGTCGTGGACGTGACGGGTACGGCGACGGGACGAACACTGGCGGCTAAAAAGCACGTGTACCGGGCGCGCGCCAAACGCCGGTCGAGCATTGCCAGCCCCATTCAGCGAACGCCACCCGCCTCCGCATTACACTCATTGGTCCGTCGACGGTGTCGGGCGTTGAGGTTTTTTTCGCGCGATCGCTGTGCCCTCTCCGTCTCTCTCCCCTCTCCTTCTTCCTCCCCCCCCCCCGAACCTTGTAGCAACGAACCCTGTCACATGACATCCAGTCCTAGTGCTGCGAATCGTGATGCAATAATAATTCATTCAACACGTCTTAGGGTTTGTAAATTTCATAAAATTGACTACGGTGGAATTTTCTGCATTTTTCAAAGAATTTCAGACTGGAGAATTTTTTTTTTTTTAAAGTAATTTTTCTTCTTTGTTTAGTTTTCCCTGCACTAGCTTCTATCGAGACGCGTTATACGGGCGGTTTTCACTAAAACTTAACGTTGCGCTAAAAATTGTGAATGCACCTTTATACTAACACAGAAAAGAGGTATCTATTTTGTTATTAAATTTGTTTTCTATATTTTTAAATCACACAGGAGCTATTTTTGTACAAATACATATGATCTAAAAAATACTCCGATTTAAGTTTTGAAAATGCATTCGTATCCTTCATAATATTTACAATGTACCAATCGAGACTATTTTATAAATATTTTTAGTTAATCAATAATATCTAAGTGGAAAATTGCAATTTTTTAAGTTTTTTAATGATTTTTACAATAATATTTACAATTAAAATTGTACTTCCGTCGATACGTCTAGCAAGATTTGAAAAATCGAAAGCCATTTTGGAAAGAAAGGGTTGGGCTTTTTAATTATTTAGACTTTGGCTCAATAAAATACCTTTCAAGTAAAACTTCTGAACTTCCTACTAAAAGAAATCTGGTCAGCGGGACCACGAATAATAAAGATTTATATGTCAAGTAAATAGTTATATTATAATTATTTCAACTTCATTAGTATTCTTTTTAAGTTATTTTTTTTGTGATAAATTTAACGTAAGACGTTACCAAAAACATACTATTGAAAATAATTGCAATTATATAATTTTTCTTTTTAACACATAACTTACAAGGTCCAATTTTATTAATAAATTATGTACGAAAAAGAAATCAAACATTTGAAAATTGTTCAAAAATGCAATTTTTAATTCCTTTTGAATACTCTAAAATGTTTAAGTTGCATTCACTTACATAATATTAATTTCTAAGAGGATTTTGCAGGACTTAACTACTAACTTACTAATTTTGTTGTTGTTTATTATTTTAATTATTAGAAATTAGAAAATTTAAAATATTTTAGATAGACCAAAAAAAATATATTTTTAGCACTTCTCATGGAGTACGACTTTGAAATTCCGAAAATCCTGTATGTGGTGGACATTATCGTTTGAATCTTTAATTCATTAGAACAATTTAATACCGTAGTTTTTTTAAACACATACACATACCCAGAAAAACAAAAAAACATTTTTTCATTACTTTTGGGTGTAACTAACGCGGATTTCCTTACGTTTTGCAAGGCGGTGCCGCATGTAGAACTGATTATAGAAATCGTTTTGTGGGGTTGATTTAAGATGAGGCCGTCCGCTGTTATCGTATTTTTTTTTTTAATCGAAAATAGTTTTATCGTCTAGTAGACGCGTGTATTTGCTTTAACTAGACTTAACGACACCGTAAAATGTCCCAGGGTTGATGCGGAGGGATTAAAGCTACCATATACATGAGTATGTGTTTGCAAATTATTCACGGTCACGTGCTGCACTGTTTTTTTTTTTAAATATTTTATGTGCAAAGGCAAGGAATTGATTTTTTACGATATTCGGCATCGTTCCAGTGCACGGCCGGTAATAAAAATAATATGTAAATTATATACAAAAATAATAACTGTCTAATACGTAAAAAACAACGAAAAACGGTACAAGAAAAAAACAAGTAATTATGTTGGACAATAAGTTCTCGAGAACTTTCAAATTGCATTTCTCTGACTCTATACACGCAGCGAATATAGAGTTGTACCCATAATGTTATATTTTGTCTGCTACTCATAATTGCAATCAATATATTTGATTAAATCAGTGTGTAGGATAATTAAATTTTCAAAACTATAATTTACAGTTACAAGTATTAGTAAGAAAAAAAAAAAATAATGTTTATAAAGTGTAAACGATGGTATATTATGAAATGAAAAACGAACAAATAACTAAACTGAAGGGCCATTCTACGTGGACTGTCGTTGATAAAATTACTGGTTGGAGCAGATGAAACAAAGTTACCACAAATAAGGCCATTCGAGTACTAGCCGTGAGCTAAATTAAGAAACGTAAGACATAAACTATATTTAAAACAAAAATCAACTGCAAATTATTACAATATTAAAGGCATTATGTAAAGAATTATGACGCTATTAATAAGTATGCAGAGGTCTAATTAAATGTTCCGGTTTTTACTAGACTGCATCAATACATTTTATCTGCTTGTACAGTAGTTTAGTTAAATAATATTGGCTATTCGACAAACATTAAATTTTTAAGCAGAAATATATTATTTATTCAATGTTTTTTTTTTTTAATTTCCTTTCTCCTCATTGTCAATTTTTTTAAGGGTCAATAATATGCTCCAGCATGCTCTTAACAGCTACTTCGGTTAAATTGCCCTTGCACAAGCCCTGAGATAAAAATTAAAAACCTAATTCTAGTTACCTACTAATATAATTAATTGCATTATTGTATCAGCTTATTGTCAATGTCGTTGTGGGGAATACGGTAATTACACTGATTTTGTTACTTAAATTTTGTTTAATTAATTATAATGGAAGTTGAAACAACACAAAGCGTTGTCTATTAAAAACGTCAGTTGCCATATTTTTTCATGACAGTTAGAGCGTTTTGGGATTAAATTCACAAACTTGTGTTAATATTGTTTTTTAAATAGAGGCAATGGTAAGTTATATTCAGTTTTTGGTACTCTATAGATGAAGTTTATACCTACCTAATAATATATTTTAGCTGACCAATCACCAATTATTACAAACAGCTCGGTACATCTAGATAACCTATCAAAGGAGCGATTGTAGTAGAATAAATTGTCATAAAATATAACTATGTAGTCGTTTTAAGTGCATATTTCACGTTAACTGCAATTAAACCGCTAATAAATTAGTATTATTCTATCTACACACAAATTACTTATTACTATGTAATCACAATTTAGTGATTATTTTAGTACCTACGGCCTACTGATTACCGGTTTGAGAATTTCAAATTAGGCAAGGCGGAGCGTGGTGTGAGTTGTTAATAACAGTGCGTTTGCCGCAGTAAAATCCACAACTATTTAGTTAGGTTAGGAAAAAGTGATTGCTTAGTAGCATAGGTATAGACGTGTAGTAATATAATATAATACCTAGTATGACGTATATAAATATTGTTTTCATTTAGTGAAAGTAAATTTGTGCAGTTAGCAGCTCCCTAAAAGACTTGATATGCTATCTAAGCCATCAACCTTCGATAGCTCAGTTGGTAGAGCGGTGGACTGTAGTGGTATAAAGTCACAGATATCCATAGGTCACTGGTTCAAATCCGGTTCGAAGGAAATTTTTTTTGTTTTTTTCCTCTGTATTTTTTTTTTTTAATTTAGATTTTCTATATCTAATAATATTTTGTAATAATAATAATTATACTACGAAAAGTATTACGTCAAGATGTTTCTGCTCCAACAACACTAATTCAATTTCGGGTTGCAAATGAATAAAGTATAAAATAGTATTATTATAGAACTTAAGTGAATTATGAATTCATTTTTTGCTTCAAATATTTCGTCTTAATAGCATTAAAAAGGCGATTTTAATAAAAAAAATAATTATTTTTTAACAACGCAGCGTTACAACGAGCACAACGAAAACGGCTTCAATTAGTACTCGAGGATCTATAATGTGATTTTATTTTAAATTAAAATATTGTTATTTCGGTTTGTATATTTTATTATTTCATTGTTGCAAAAATATTTCTTAGAGTAATTTCAATTAAAACCTCTAGTCGCTCGATTTCCTTTGCCATATTTTTAATTTGTTTTTGAAGCGAAACGAGGTGAACTGTTAAACAACAACGTAATGAGTAAAAAAAGGAATTTAAATGCATTTTTTACAATTGTTTTTTAAAATCAGTAACATAGCCCATTGGTGAATTGTACGGGGAGCTAAAGGGGCCATTATCTCCAGATATCTGAAATGAAAGGGTAACTCTATTGTTATGCACCCCTTCCCCCGTTTTAAATTTGGAAATCGAATTTGTATCTACGGTTTGTAATTTTTTTTTGTAAGTAATTAATGTGTATTTAAAACATCCAAATGAGACAATACTTATATAGTGGATGAAAAAAAAACAAAAAAGATTAATAAAATATTACAAAATAGCTCTATATTGACAATACAACAATTACCTACTATTGTGCCTACTATGCACTATGTTGCTGAAAATGACTTAACATACTTAAAATATAATTTTCATGGTATAGGTACAACAATGTTTAAATTTTTAAACATCCCAGAACATTTTTAACAAACTTTAGAAAACCATTGCGACTTGCGACCGTTGGATTTATTACCCCTCTAATTACATTCACGCCCAAATGTTTTCATCCACTATCAGTTTTAATGCTACTTAAAAAACTTATGTACCGCGATCCTCCTGGGAAACCAGCCAACAGTATTTGTACCGATCGAGTCCTTTTACAAAGCACAATAGTCCAACAAAAGCTCCCGGTAAACTTTAATTTGAAAAACAACATATTAAGTTCATAAGTTGATATATTGTTACTGGCTGTATAACTTTTATTTTTATTTTTTACACTGAGTTGAAGAGTTATCTGTTTTTATTATTTTAGCTTCGATGCGGTGCCGAGTATGTATTGTTATTATAATGATGATTCTATTATTTTTTTTTTTTTTTGTGTGTGGTGGTCCCACGGTATCTC